ATATGTTTAGCTCTGCAGAAACTAATTTTACGAATTTCATGAAGGTCTGGTGCCAGCTAGTGGTACGTATTATATATGCATCAAAAAGATAATTGATTTTTTTTTAAGTAACCAAAAACAACATAGTCTCATCGAGATTGAAAAATTGCTTAAAAACAACATTTACAGGAATATTGTTTGCCGTGTTGAGGAGAACCAACAGACTGCGTGTAAGAATGGATGTCTGTCTTGGCCGGGCGCAGTGACTCATACCTGTAATCCCAGCACTTTGGGAGGCCTCAGGATCACCTGAGGTCAAGAGTTCGAGACCAGCCTGGCCAACATGGCAAAACCTTGTCTCTACTAAAAATACAAAAAATTAGCTGGGCGTGGTGGCACCCACCTGTAATCTCAGATACTTGAGAGGCTGAGACAAGAGAATCACTTGAACTCAGGAGGCGGAGGTTGCAGTGAGCCGAGATTGCACTGTTGCACTCCAGCCTGGGCACAAGAGTGAAACTCCATCTCAGAAAAAAAAAAAAAAAAAAAATGGATGTCTGGAATGTTCTGTTGTCCTATAATGCTCTGTGTCAACTTCCACTTAGTCATTATGCTCCTATATTCTGATTATTCATGTGTCTGTCGTTCTTATTGTATCAGGAAGTTACTGGGATACGGCTCATGCCTTCGTTTCTGTAATTCACCATGTGTCACAAGATCTCACAATTAGATGCAGAAAGAAATATTTATTGAATACATAAGAGAATTCAAGAAAAATTATTGCCATACTTCACTTACCACAGTGCATGACTTCTGAAAGCAGTTATTCAGGGGTTATCAACACTGAGTCATGACCTTAATTATTCAGAAGTATACCAGACAACTTTGGGCCTCTAAGCTTTTTTAATCTTCAAGAATTTCCTAGTTGACTTAGATATCATAGATCTGTTGAACCATTAGCTGTCCCATGAGGCCTTCTTAGAAATTACAAGGCCTCTGAGACAAGCATCCCAGATCCAGCTTACTATTTTAACCATTTAGTCATTAGTAACAAATTTTGAACTAGCAGATTTTATTTTCCTGGGATGGGAGCCAGGTTATAAAACATATCTTACAGTTCAGTCTCTAATAACATTTACTTTTAAAATCAATGCTTTCTTATTAATTTGCTGATTAGTGGTGTTAATAATTGGCTCAAGTGGGAATGTCAGATGTAAGCTAATGGTTCATTAATCAAATTTAAAAGGGCATCATCTTTTAAACATGAGGATGAAACTTCTAATATCTTTCAGGATTGACAGTCAGATATGTTCCTCTGGGGAGGGGATCTTTCCACTTTATGCCTTCCATGGTTGACACAATTTCCGGGGCCATTTGTTAATTATTCCCCCTGGTGTGAAGTAAAATTGATTTGGAATCCTAACTCGTTATGGAAGGAGTTTTAGAGTTCAAATTAGTTCAGCTTCCTCAGATGTATAAAGAAAATACAGTTTCTGTATTTTCTGTAATTGACATAGTTTTCTCAGAAACCTATTTGAAGGATAGGTTTCAAAGCATGTGCTCTGCATGCCACCATATCGAAATAGTTGGTTTCGATAACCCGCTCATCTGTGGATAAATGATCACACTTTCAGTTTTCGCAGCCTTTCTCTGCTGCTATCCAACACTGGTTTTGGAAGAGAGTTTGGAGTCCAGAGGCTTTGTGTTTACAGTCTTGTGCAGTGGGGCCTGAGGGCCAAGCACCCGCAGAACATCTTCCAGATCCTTGTCGATTTCTGCTATAGGCAGGTTAGTGTGGGCTGCTCCCAGGACAGCTGCAACAGGTACCATCTCATCACCTGGAACTCACTGCTGCAGTCTGTTTCAGACATCTGCTTCCAGCATAAAATCCCTGCACACTGTGGCCTTTGTCCCAACCTCAGGCTCCCATCCACCCACTATTCTTAGATCCTCTGTGCCTTTTACTACTGTGGCATGCAAGAAATTCCAAATGCCTTGACTGCCACATGAGAGGGTTGGGAAGCACTGCCTTAAGCTCATCTTTCTTGCTACCACCCATATGATATAAAATTCATGTTGACTCTGATCACATGTGGAGCTGCTTCTATGGGCATGGGACTAACTACCTCACAGGCTACCTCATACTTGTGTGGGATTTTTTATTCCTCCCTGTTACCTCTCCTTCTTCGAGTTTCTTCCACAGAAGGGAAAAATGAGGCACCTGCTGAGCTCAGTATCTTACCTTTCTCTTTCTTTGCCTCCAGGTCATGAAGAAACATGCTTTCCTTTTCCTGGATATTATATCCTAATTTTTCCCATCCCTTAACATATAGAAAAACAATCTCCTTGACGTATCTTATCATACTTGGCTCTTTAAAAAAAAAAAGAGAGAGAGCGAGAGAGAGAGAGACAAAATCTCACCCTGTCACTCAGGCTGGAGTGTGGTGGCTCAGTCACAGCTCACTGCAGCCTCAGACTCCTCAAAGCAAGTGATCCTCCCACCTCAGTCTCTCAAACTGCTGAGATTACAGGCATAAGCCACTGCACCTGGCACTGTGCTTGGCTCCTGATATGTTGATAGGAGTTTAAAGAATTTTACTGCCTTCCTTTCCATTATGGCTCAGGCTTAGGGATGGAAGGTTGCAAAGAAATAGAAATTGAATCGAAAATGAAAACTCGATCCTTTAGTGTTTTAAAAACCTTGTCTTTGTTACACCTAGATCAATGGTTGTAAACTCTGGCTGTATATTAAAATCCCAGGGGTCTTTTGAAAAAACGAATGCGTAGACCAACCATAAAAAAAAATCAAACCAGAATATCAGATACTCAGCAACCAGATGCTGGGGTAGTTTAGTGCATTGCTCGGTGTCGCTTAGGAAATTAGTCCCACCTAGCTGGGCGCCCTTCCTCCCTCCTACACGGCCAAGCCGATCACTGTGCTGAATCAGTGATTTCTATTCCTAAATAGATACGCACACCAAACTCATAGTTTGTTTAATGTTTGCAGTACAGTGTGTGTGTGTGTGTATGTGTAGTATATACATATTCTACAAAAAAAGAGAAAAAAAATGTTTTCCTCATTTACTTCCTTATCCATTATAATATTATGGTGGAGTTTTTGCCCAACGGCTATGCTAGCAGGAGATGGTTCTTTAAGGAAAGTGTCCTCTATCCTCATTACACAATGAGCTGATTCCTGTTACTGTAGTGAACAGCTGACTCTGCCAATCACATCAGCTCTGCCTTTTTGCCCTTCCTTCCCAATCCCATCCCAACTCCACAGAAGACTTCCACATTCACAGTTTCTCTGGAGTTACTTCTAAGGACATCTAATGCTTTAATTTCTTGCAATCTGTGGGAAGAAGCAGAGAAATTGAGCAGAGACATGCAACTGGATGGTTTGTTTGTTTGTTTGTTTTGAGATAGAGTTTCGTTCTTGTCGCACAGGCTGGAGTGCAGTGGCGCGATCTCAGCTCACCACAACCTCCGTCTCCTGAGCTCAAGTGATTATCCTGCCTCAGCCTCCAGAGAAGCTGGGACTGCAGGCGCCTGCCACCACGTCCAGCTAATTTTTGTATTTTCAGTAGAGATGGGGTTCACCATGTTGGCCAGGCTGGTTTTGAACTCCTGACCTCATGATCCATCCACCTCGGCCTCCCAAAGTGCAGGGATTACAGGCGTGAGCCACCGCGCCTGGCTGATGTTTTTTACTAATACCAGACATCCTTAAATCCTGCACCAAAAGTAAAGGAAACACAGTCCATGCAGCCATTAACTTCTCATCTCTTCTAAAGGATGTGTGATGTCTAAGCCCTTTCTACATTTAAGCTACCCTGTATTTTTGAATCTCCTGTCTTCTCTGTTTCCTGATTCATATTCTCTCCCTTCCCCTCTTCTTCCCCCCTCCTCCCCTCTCCTCCTCCAAATATACAAGAAGCTTGCAGCTATTTGTTTCTGTGCAACAGAACAATAAATCCGACAAGATGAGACTCCTGAGGTTGTCAGGAAACTAACAGCAGGCTGCCGATACTTCTCCAACCCCTCTGCTTTAAAGGGGTTCACCTACCCTTAAGGAAAAGGAGGGTCGGGAATTTATCAGAAGCAGCATGGCATCTTATTTACCAGTTTCTTTCTCCATCTTTCACATGTTAACCATAGTATATTCTGTCTATGGCAAACAAAGATTCCTAGTCACTGGGTTTCACAATCCCTGTAAGACAGTTCATTCTGGGAGTTGGGCTGGCTCAACTAAATGCCATTTGAGCTTTCCAACTTGGGAAAAGCAAGCCACCCATCTAATAACAGCCTTTTTTTTTTTTTTTTTTTTTTTTTTTGCGATGAGTTTCGCTCTTGTCGCCCAGGCTGGAGTGCAATGGTGCGATCTCAGTTCACTGCAACCTCCACCTCCCATGTTCAAGTGATTCTCCTGCCTCAGCCTCCCGAGTATCTGGGATTACAGGTGCCCACCACCACGCCCGGCTAATTTTTTATATTTTTAGTAGAGAGACAGTTTCACCACGTTGGCCAGGCTGGTCTCGAACTCCTTACCTCAGGCGATCCACCCACCTCAGCTTCCCAAAGTGCTTGGATTACAGGCATGAGTTACTGCGCCCGGCCCAGCCTCACTTTTTATAAAGAGTGAACTCTGCAAGAGGCTGTCTGCAGATAACCAGCAAGGGGGATCGGTCCGTTTGTCCAGGAGCGCCTCACTCTTTCTGTCGGGTTTGTGGCTACAAATATTGACACCACTTTCACATGTGCAGCCCAACTATTTCTTTTTCCTGTTTCTCTGGGAGTTATTTGAAGATGGCATCTGAAGGCCTTTAAGAGTTAAGAAGTATCATGTCTTTTATGACTGGCCACTGCTGATGGGACTGGCTGTGGCTATCCAGAAAACACTTCCCTTGATCTGTGTCATTGTGGCATTTGCTTGGGCTCTGGAGAGCGAGTCATTCATGATTGTCCTGGTCAGAAATTTCATACCCAAAGATTCATTTGTCTCTCTGTTTTTCCATTTCCAGCCTGGATGTGTAAATACAACTGAAGTGGACATTAAGAAATCATCCAGAATGAGAAACCCCCACAAAACACGGAAGGTAAAACTGACATCTGTTGTGCTGATCTTGGTGATGGATTGCATTGTTTACAGGATGTCAGCCATGAACACTTTCTTCCCATGTCATGGAGTATCTTCCTCACTCTTCCCAGCCTTCCACAGCCCTCCCTTCCTCAAGAATAGCCCCATCCTGATGCTCAAGCACACCAGGGTCCCAAGACAGAGCGGTGGTACTGACTAACTGACAGGAGAGGAACAGGAAGCGAAGGATCCCTCCCCTCTCCCAGAGAAGGGTGTGGCCTTCAGAGCCCAGGAAAGGAGGAAAAGAAGATGGAGGTTTTCTAAGGATGATTTCTAAGGAAATCTAAGGATGATTTTTCTAAGAAAATCATCCTTAGAAAACCTGACACTAATGAGAGAAGGGCATTTTAAAACCCGAGGAAAGGGGGACATCTGAAAGATATTTAATTACAGAAAGAGTGCAGGGACCCCTCTTAACACTAGAATTTTGTAACACAAGCATAAGACAGTGGTTGTATTTCAGTGTTCGTTTTCTGAGAGAATATCGGTGTGCAGGGTGCAGGGGAAGCTATTCCAAGTTCAGTGACATTTTAAATAACCCTTTGAAAATGCATAGCGATAGTCTCTCCATATTTTTTAAAACAACATGTACAACTAGAAGGGATTTTTATTCATTCCATAAAACGCGCTTGATGTACACAAGAATTTCTGGCCTGTAGCAGTCACTTTGAGAACACAGCTTATTGATTGGTCCTGCAGGATTAATACATCCCACAAACTTCAAGGTCTTCTTTTCTGTGACTATTTCCTTAGTATTTCCTCAGCCATAGTGTTTACCAGAGTCTGTGTCCCTGCAGTAAGCACCCAATACTTTTTTCTAGTCTTATTTTATGTTACCTTTTCTCCTATCCCTAGAAACATATAGCTTCATGTTCAAAGGCCCCAGTATGGTCCAAGTACCTTTTCTTTCTTTTAAGGCAGTTTACCTTGATGTTAGGATAAACAAGCCGAAGCAAAGCACCACAAAACCAACTCAGATGCGGTGCTCAAAAGTATCTGCCCCTAGGAACTCTCCGAGGGAGAGGCGAAGTCAGACCAAAGCAAGCCTGTCTGGTCCGTCTCTCTTGTAGCTGGCCCTGCTTAATTGCTTTCATCTTCTGCTCAGAGCACAGCCTGAGGGCACCAAGAACTAGTTTTGCAGAACAAGATTCAAAAATGCTATCAGCGCTCCAAAAAGTGCATTAAGCCACCTCTCTCCACTTTCTGAATAGTGAAATTACTCTTCGAAATACTTTATTGGGTGTCCTGTTTCCCCCAACAGACACTAACCCAGACATGCTATGATTCAGAAGAGAAAGCACATGAATTGACAAGATAGCACTTAGACACAATAAAGGCATCATTTATACTCTCTTTTCGGCACCATCTTCAGTATTGATCATCTTTCCCGTATTTCACATGGCACCCTTATTTTGAACATTTGAGAAGCATTAGTTTACAATGTTGTTCTTCACATACCATCAGCCCTCATTTAATGATGAAAAGCCCATGAGGCATTGCAAGGTGAAATATTGTAAAAAAAAAAAAAAAAAGAATCATTGAGATCTAGCTCTCTTTGTTTCGATAACATCTCATTTCTTGTGAATCAATAATGATAGAATGACAGGGCCTCACTCCAGAGCTGTCTGGCGCTAATATTTGCCAGGAGAAAACAAAAGTCCTGAAAAATCTGACAGCAATTAACAGGTATGCCCTTATTTTCCACGGTTGGAGAAAACTGATTTTTCTCACCTTTTGATAAATATAGTTTCTCACAGTCAGAAGTGTTCAGTTTGCTAGAATCTTCACAGAGGATAATGTTATTTTGCATGGAAGGTTATACGACTCCAAGCCACATACTGATATGTTTTTTTTAGAAGTATCACCACTGATACTTCATATGATATGAAGTATACAACTATGATATGCTCATAGTTGTTTAGGAACTGTAATGATCCACTGAATTAGCAAAATTAAGGAGTCTCTGCTCTATGCCAGACATGTCCTGGGCTTTAGGTACTCCACAGTAAATGGGACAGTCAGGGCCTTGCTCCCCCTAATTCATGGTCTCATAAGGGTACAGGTATTGAGCAAGGAGACAAATGCCTGTACATGGATATAAGTATATGTTTTCGTTAAGCTTTATGTAGTCTGCTGGGGCCGCCTTAACAAAATACCGCAAACTAGGTGGTTTAAAGAGTAGGAATTTGTTACCTCATAGTTAAGGAAACTAGAAGTTCAAGATCAGGGTGGTGGCAAGTTCAGTTCCTGTGGAGTGTCTCTTCCTGGCTTGGGGATGGCCACCTTCTCCTATGCTCAGTGGCTTTTCCTGTGTGTGCATAGAGACAGAGAGAAAAACAAAACACAACAACCAACTCTGGGTCTCTTCCTCTTCTTAAAAGGACATCAGTTCTATTGTATTAGTTCCCACCCTATAACCCCACCTAACCTTCATTTCCTCTTCACAGGCCGGATCTCCAAATACAGCTGTGTTGGGGGATAGGGATGCAACGTAAGAATTTGGGGGAGGGGACACAACTCCGCCCGTGACATATGACAAAGGGAATTTAAGTGATTTGTGCTTGTAATTGCCACTGCATTTTATCAGTGAATATCTTGACAGCAATCAGCAAGCTGTTTCACCCCCCTCTGAGGGGTCCACAGCTCTGTGTCTGCGGAGCAGGCGACACTGTGAGATCCCAAGCCACAGAGGCCAGCCAGTCGCCCCTGGAAACCACCCTTCCCTTCTGCCAAAATTGGGCTATCTCTGTAGCGCGTCCTCCCGGCTGTGTGGTCGGCCTCAGTCTTTATACTGTGGCTGCTCAGGAAGTGGAACCTACGGAACACGCTTAATCTTTGAAAGCAGATAATGCTCGTAGCAAGGAGAGCTGCTGTCCATTTCTTTGGGAGCCAGCTGTAACAATTTTCCTGTGATTACGTGCCATAACAAGAGTAAAGGACCCAGTAAATCCCTCAACTAACAGTCTAGCATTGGTGCCTGAAGAATATCAGAGTCATTCCACATTTCATTTGGGAATGTTGTATCTAATTGTTGAATTTTTGACATGTTTATCAAATATAAGAAGCGAAGGCTTTGCTGTATGGATGATTTGAGCTATGTTAAGAATCTACCATTAGTCCATTTTCAAGTCTTTCTATTTAATTAGAATATACTACAATATAAGGAAATAGGTAAAAATGTGTTATCTCAAGGATCTATGAAAGAATGATAATGTAGCATAGCCAGAAAGAAATCAGCCTAATCTAGGTAAGTTTGAAGGGGAACCGTCTGCCTGATGTTCTTGAGTCTGATACTATTAATTTTGACTGTAATAGATTCTGTATTAGCCAGAGTTCTCCAGAGAAACCGAACCAGAAACAGAGAGTGGGGGACGGGAGAGGGGGAGAAAGACAGAGACTTATATTAAGGCATTGGCTCACAGGATTATTGAGGCTTGGCGAGTTCAGAATCTGATGTGGGAGGCCAACAGGCTGGAGACCTAGGGAAGAGTGGCAGTTTAAATCCAAAGACATAGCTCTTGTGTCACCGGGAAGCTTTTGCTGGGTTGCTGGCATCAGGGACCCACCTCGGCATGTTGTCTTGTCACCAGGCCCCTGGTGCACCCCAGCGGCAGGCAGAGCTCACGGCCATGCCTTCGCCCCACCTGCTGCTGGTCCAGGGTCCGGGCACTGCGTCGATGGCGGCTCCGCAAAACATTCGACCCGGCTGCAGCCCGTGTCCTGAGCGGACTGGACTGTAACATGAGGCATCTGCGCCACTTCTGCCGGGCCCAAGTGGTGTGGGGCTTCGACCGTGGCTGCAGGCAGCTGGGCATCCCCACAGCTAATCTTCCTGAACAAGTTTAGTAGCTAATCTTCCAGTTGATGTATCCATCGTCATTTATTATGGTTGGGCCAGGGTTGGAAGTGGAGATGGCCTTTAGGTGGTGGTGAGCATAGGATGGACCCCTACCACAAGAATATGAAGAAGTCCATGGAAAGGCTTATCCCGCATACCTTCAAAGAGGACTTCTATGGGGAAATCCCCAATGCGGCCATTGTTGCCTACCTCGAACCAGAAAAGAACTTTCTTTAGAGTCACTTATTTCAGCAATTCCCGGCGACATTGAGGAGGCTAAGAAACGACTCGATTTACCAGAACATTTGAAACTCAAGACAATTTCTTCCGGGTTTCTAAAAGCAAAATAATGAACAGCCCCTGATGAAAAAAACATATTATTTATTCATTCACTGTTTTCTAGTATTTTAGTGTTTATTACCATCTAGCCTCATCTTGGTTATATTTTAAAACTCAAACATTTTCCTGTAGCTGCGAATTAAACAGTACAATATAGTTACCATGTCATGCTTCAGCTGTTAAATTAAGGCCGTCATGTCATAGCACTAAAAAGATTCATTTAAAAATCAATAATTGGCCGGGCGCGGTGGCTCAAGCCTGTAATCCCAGCACTTTGGGAGGCCGAGACGGGCGGATCACGAGGTCAGGAGATTGAGACCATCCTGGCTAACACGGTGAAACCCCATCTCTACTAAAAAATACAAAAAAAAACTAGCTGGGCAAGGTGGCGGGCGCCTGTAGTCCCAGCTACTCGGGCTGAGGCAGGAGAATGGCGTAAACCCAGGAGGCGGAGCTTGCAGTGAGCTGAGATCCGGCCACTGCGCTCCAGCCTGGGCGACAGAGCGAGACTCCCTCTCAAAAAAATAAATAAATAAATAAATAGATAAATTAATTAATTAAATAAATAAAATAAAAATCAATAATTAAAAAATATATATTGATTAAGATGTACCACTAGAAAGGTATTACATGTCTTATAATGGAAGTGAAATGTATATAAGTACGGGTAAAAAGACAAATCACTAGTTTGAGATGAAAACTAAAATTTTCATGGTAAAATACCAACATGTATGTACTTGTATAGTTTGTACTTCTAGACAGAGAAGGCTTATAAAAGTAAA